CTTCGTGTAGTGCAATAAAAGAATCCACCTAAACGTGGAAGAAACTTCTACGAAACACCGTAACCAGAGAAAGAGATATTTCAAAACAGGCATGTTCATTCACTCTCCCTCAATATGACCTCAGAGTCGGCACGATTGTAAACAAGCGAGGTGCATACTGAGCCTTGAGTAAGGCATTCAAAAGAATACCGTCGCCGTCATCCACTACTTGTAAGTGCATTTCCGAAGCATTAAACGTCACGGCCACTTCATGGCTGTGATCTTTCACCGCAAGAATTATAAGGGCCGTCACCCATCGGATAAAGCAGGCCGTATAGCCAACGGGCGACATCTTTAAAACTCGTTCGCAACGTTTCTAAAGAAGCACGCAGTTCCTAAAAAATTTAAATCGTACGATCCGCCTGACATGTAAATATTACCAACTGAATTAGTTGACTTAAGTTCAGACTCGCAAGAGAAAGTCGTGAACTGGGAGGCTAACAGCACTTAAAATCGAGTACTTTGTCTATAATATTAATAAATAGTCGCAAACAAACATATCTAAAAAGTTGCTTCAAAACTTTTGACAAAATCCTGAAAGCCATACGAGTTAGCAAGAGCAAATAATGCGGGTTTAAACAGAACAAGTTGATCAAAGCTAAGAAATCAAAACAAACGCAAAATTAGAAAAAGTTAACGACTTTGTTTTTATGCGCTAATGCGAGTATGTATGAGCATGAATGACCTCAATAACCGGATGTCGTCAGTATGACATTAGCACATACTATTTCGCTCGTCCATGGCCACCTAATTCTGAGCATGTAAAGAATAAATTAAACTGACAATCAATATTAATAATTATTAATAAGTTATATATGAACATGCACAAAGGAGTTTATACGATAAATTAAGCATGTGAGCAAATTCGTCGATTAAGAAAGAGAATCAGTCAGATATCATTATTTGCTGATTTTAAAGTAGATATTTTGTTTTGTCTTTATCGTTTATATTGTTCATTCCTATCTGAACAAACTGCATATACAACCACTTTCAGCGCTTAACACTCTTCGTAATTACTTTTTGAAATTAAACAAGGCACATAAAACGCATACGGCACTATTGTGATTAATGCAGACCTCCGCCTTGGAGATGCTCAAAAAATATGGATGTAAAAGCAAGTTCAATGGCCTAACAATAGTCTAGAAACATGTGATCGAAAAACCATAGGTAATTGAGCCTATAAAGTTACAATTAACCTCCTACTTCTGTGATATGATACTGCCAGATAACTTATAAAAACGTTGAGAAATGCCTATTTAAATTTTCTGTCGATTATTAAAAAAACACCAAAGTATTTGTTAAATACCAAATATTAATTGAAGATATATCCAGAATATGAAATTTACTCCCTTGGGAACGCTGACATCTGAAATATCAGTCCAGAGCAGCACATGTACAAAGGCATCCATAAGAGAAAACGAAATGCATGGCATAAGAGAGCGAGTAACAACTTTCTGAGGTACATACCTGTCGCATAATCTAACAATTGACAAATACAAAAATTTGACGCTCAGAAAAAGTTACTTGACGAACAATATCAACTAATTGTGAATCGCTGACTCTGCATAGATATTTAAGGCTAAAGTCAAACTAAAAACAGGTAAAACAGTCTTCCCGTGCCGGGAATCGAACCCGGGCCGTGCGGGTGAAAGCCGCAAATCCTAACCACTAGACCACACGGGAACTGAAAACGTTTCGTATGCAAGATTTCTAAGTCATTGCAGATGGAATCAACACAAACAACACCAAATGAAATTACCATTTGCCAAATTATTGTTAAAAAAACGGTTTTATAACTAAACATAATAAAATAAAAATAACAATCACCAAAAATTATATGCAGTGCCTTTCATACAATAGACTCAACTTCGCTCAATTAGGCGTTGAAAGATCAAACTTCCATAACAGACACGTTATGTAAGGGTTTTTGAGGGAAGATATCAGAGCAGATTACAGGTCCAAAACCATCAAACTGAACCGAAAAACATATCATCGCTGAGAACACATGTGGCGAGAGTCAGATTCAAGGCATGTTCAAAAATGAGAATTTCAGATCAAGGCTAAATGGCCTCGACGAGACCGACAGCACAGTTAACATGAGTTTATCGCGGCTCTTTCAATCACAAAGAAATTCATCGGGGTCAGACCTGGAGTTGCCGATATCCTATACTGGTTTTCTCACGCTGTCCGTTTCTCACTGTCACAGTTTACTTTCATCATCTCTTCATTCCTAAGTTTGGATGTTCCTGGTACCTTCATATTTGGGTAGGGGAAATCGTCGTCCAACCTGACTGTTTTCCATTCTCAACTAAGGCAGTGCCCACTGAACTTTTTCTAATCGTTTGACTTTTAGAGTCATTGCATCCGATAACTAATTACGCTATGAATGAAACCCTCGGGTGAACATATTACCGGTATCCTGTTCTGGTCACCTTGTCACTCTGTCATGCCACGAATGCATTCCAGAATTTTCTGTTTTTTCCTCTGTGCGATTTAACATATTGCGAGGGTTTTAACAGTGAAACGCCATTATACAGTTCTTTAATTGAATTCAAACTCTCCCATTTAATACTTTTCTGAGTTAATATTATATGCACATGATGAACTGGTCATGAATTCCACAGGAGCTGGAGTCATCTTGGACGGAGCGAATGCAGATCATTTCCGTCACCATTAGCACGTGATTGTCATCTTCTCATAAATTGCATACTTTCGATTATTTCGAGATACTCACATAACTAGCACTGATAAAGAACCATGTTTTTGTTATGCCTGTTGTGCCCTTAAAATCATGTAAATCTACTTCATGATCTCAAGAGACCGATTCATTTTGCCTTGTGAAATGGCAGTCGAATCAGCCATTAGTTGCTACTACGAAAACAATGTACACAAATTCCAATTAACACAAATCTGCAGTAAAACCGAAACTAAAATCGACATATCTTACTTTCGTTTGATAATAATTATAATCTTAGTTTTATCCACTTTCGCTCCATTCAGTTATAGTCTAATTACGGCTTTACTCAATAAAATTTTTCGGCATCTTCATGTTCCGATGTCTCCGCCTGAAGACCTTTCTACACATCTTCAATACGACTACTCACTGACTAGATATTACATAAATGCCAAGATATAGCATAGCAGAAAAAGTTTCTGTATGTATACAGCAACTTCATATTCATGCTCGATCATACAGAAACACATCGTACATCAACAAAAAAA